TAGATGCGTATTATACATAGGGATAGATAACTTTCTTACTTTTTGAATCATTTGTTGGGGTGCGGATTATTTATGGGTGCGTATTATTTTCGAGAAGTTATACGACCAATATTTATCTACTTCCGTACCAAGTAAATGCTTACAGTCCCAAGTATAAGTGATCAGTATTTATATATCCCTGAACTAAGTAGCGATTTACTAAGCTAGGATGTGGCACAAGGCCGATAGTATAGAGCACCCACAAGAACCAAACTTACTATTCAGTCGCAATTGATTTAGCGTCAAAGTGATCAAATCTGATATCAGTCAGTTATGTGCCATGTAAATTTTTTTTCTCGCAGTAGTTTGCCATTTCTTTCTGCGGTAGACCTGGTCTGTCCTGCTATTTTACCCATAGCTGGAGGGGGAGAAGAGAGGATTCATACCTTTCCTAAGGGTATTAGCACGTAAGTGAATGTAATGGATTCGAGTGGAATTCGAACTCGGCTCTCCGATTCTTCAATCCGAGCCGCTATCCATTACTCCACCGTATGATTTACTAAGCATAGCTTAGATGTGACACAAGGCCGAAAGTATGGAGTACCCAGTGAGGATTGGACTCACTACTCAGTAATTGATCTAGCAAGACAGGCTTGCTTAAACTTTACATCGATGCGCTTTCCTCTAGCTAAATAAATGCTTGTAGATGCAAATATCAACGACAGATTTCTACACTATTTACATTATTCGGATAATTGTCCTCATCTTTGTTGCCATATTTATCACAACGTTTCGGCTATTGTACGCTCCGGCCTTCTTCAGGTGATTGGAATGTCGAACTGAACCCTTTATTTCGCTCACTGTGGTAGACTGTTCTAGTTCCACGTGCCATGCCTAATGGATGTCAGTTATCAGCTATCTCCTGTTAATTCACCTCCACTGCCTTAATCAGTTATTGAAATCACAAATCTTTTGGGCCCTGTCACTGAATCTAACCAACGCCTTTATCCACTGTGTCATGTGGCACAGAAGAAGGCCGAAACGTTGTGATAAATATGGCAACAAAGATGAGGACAACAGGGAGAATAATTTAAATAGTGTACATAATACCTCATCTCAGAAATATAAACAGACACATTTCTACCCATCCCTGAACTAAGTAAATGCTTACAGACTCAAGTATATACGATCAACATCTAATTGATCCTGAACTAAATATTCTATTCGTTCATTTAATCAGTTTGCGCATTTTGAGCTGCTATGGCCACCACTCCTCTTATTTCTGCTGTAATTGTGGTTTATGATGACATTCAACGCAAAATACTGCCTATGGTAGCAGATGGGTTGAGGAGAGACGTTTATATATATGGGCGCGTGTCCGAGTGGTTAGAACGTTTGCTTTCTGACCATGAGACCTGGGTTCGAATCTCACTATGGTCGATTTGTCAGGACAGTGACTTACTGATGATATCAGACTGGATCGAGGTCGATCCTAGCGTACGGCACCTTTGGAAAGTGCCTGAAAACCATACAACGGGTTGACCAAAGCCATGTGAGTGAAATTAGACATACAGAACTCTTGTGGGCCGTGCACTTCAGCGTGATGGCTTTGTTCAAATTGTTGATCATGCTAAAGAACACACTCTCTCACAGAAACTGCTCAGCATAATTACAGCACAAATGTGCCTGAGCGAGTGTCTGCAATAGGGATTGGCTAGCCGTCCTAGTAGACAGGTATCCTCGAATACGAGTGGCCAGCTATTATATATATATATATATATATATATATATGTATATATATATAAAATTTTCAGAGAGTGTGTAAAGAAACAAAATGAATAAAAAACAAGAGGAAAAACTATTCTTAGCTGACGCGTTTCGCTCTCTCTTACATTGATAAAGCCCTTCAGAGGACGAAACGCGTTGGCTACGAATAGTTTTTCATCTCGTCTTTTTATTCACACAGACACAGACACACACACACGCGGATATATATAATTATATATATAAGAAATTAAGTTTTTTATATATATATATATATCCCACGTAGCTAAAACTATACGAAAAATAAGTTGTAAATGTAACTGGAGTATTTTAAGAATATTTATTTAGAATAACTTTACCAGTTTCACAGTTCAATGATTTTCAAATGTTACACTAAGTTAGCGAAGAGTGTGGCAATATATGTGTGTGGGTGTGTGTGTGTGTGTGTGTGTGTGTGTGTGTGAGAGAGAGAGAGAGAGAGAGAGAAAGAGAGAGAGAGATAGATATATAGGGTCATGAGAGGCCGAGGGGGATAGCTGTTATAACCATAGCTGAATTTGCTTTAATTTCCATTTCGTTTCGTTAGAATTAATCATAAATTTGTTATAAATATTATTGAGTACTACTTACGTTCACAGACATCCTTGTGAGCAGAAACAAAAGCCACTGTAGTTCGGAATTTGTCAGGTGCCCATGCCAATGACTGGTCATTGTCAAGTCCCTTGACTGCTTCAAAACCAAATTCCTTGCAGGATATCTAGAACAACAATCGTGTAAAACATTACAGTTAAGTAGCTAACACATCCATAAACACGCACGGCTTTGTGTCTTTTTAAGGCAAGGATTAGGAAAAAGTAATGAAAGCAATTAATGATGTCGTGAACTTAATCTTCATTGGGGATTACGGCTACATCACGTTGAAATATCACTTCTTTTTACTTACATTTTGTAGGTTCTCTTATAAGGAATTACTTTATTGTATTTAGCTAAGTTAATCAACGTCGATCCTGTTCAGTATCTAGATGGATAACCGTTTGGAAATATCAAGTGCTGTAAGCTTAGATGTGCGGGTGGTGCAATGGATAATGGCTCGGAATTGTTAATCGAAGAGCCTAGTTTCAATTCCCGTTGGGTTCGTTATTTTTATTTATGCGTAAAGGTAAGAATCCACCTCTTCTTCCCCCAACTATGGGTTAATCAGTAAGACTTGTACCACTAAACCATTATTATCCCCCACCAAATTCTTACAATCTAAAAAAATATTTCTGGCTTTAAATAACCTAAAAAGTATTGATAAACCGTAAAAAAAAAAAAGAATCAGTTAATCTTTGTTGGGTACCCAACACTTCTGGCTTCCTGCAGTTAAAGATGTTGGTATTTTGATAAAAAAAAAATATTTGATTTCAATTACATTTTAATTATTGGTCAGGATTTTCAGGGACAAAAAGTCCGACTTAAATATTTTAAATTCAGGAAGTTATTAGCGGTAGAAAAAGTTTCTAGCACGCCTATTTAAAAACAAAATACCGCACAGTTCTGCTTGAGTGTCATGCCGTTTCCGGATATAGGTCAACATGGCCCTCTACAACTTCCTTTTTGCTTAATACAATTTTTTATATTTTTCTTTAATATAGTGTAAGCGATCTGGGATTGCAAAGGAAATATTTGTCGCAGATTATTTCCACAACGCAGAGAATAAATCACTAAGTTCAGATCCGAACATCGGGGGCAGAAAGAAATGCCGAAAACTCGATTCGCAGGTACTATCTCACAAATCACAATGCCCACAACCATTCAGAAAAAGAACTCACTCTCCGACGAACGCGGTAGCCAAAATGCCCGAATTTTTTCGATCTCGAGTCGAGAACACCAACTGTTTTTATCTGCCGAGCATTTTTTCCATTCGTCGACAACTGGGAGAGGACGCCCAATTTTTGCATGTCAAAATACTTTTACAGCGACTCCTGCGACGGACTTGTTTTTAATTTACATATTCCGTCTTCAGCATGTCATGCAGAATACGCGCCCTTTTTTTGGTAAGTAATTTTCTTTTTCCGTCGTAGGATACACGCGAGACGCTGTCGCTTGATTTGACGTTTTCTTCTCTATATATAATTACTTTAATATAATGTAATTTCTTTAATATATAAACTGAATTATCCTGACTTCTTGGAAAAGATAGTGGAGAATGTATCTACGGTTTTCTATTCAGAATTGTCCTTCTTCTAAAATGGCTACCAAACAAAGCTTGAGAGCTCAGTAAAACACTTATTTAAGTCATCGTTGGGAAAGAAGAAACAGTTTCCTACCTTTTCCAAGGATATTAGTGCGAAAATGAATGTAATAAACATGACCGGAATTTGAAATCGGCTTCTATATAATATCTATAAAATGTGAATAGCTATAATTATTTCGGGAAACTTATTTGCCTTCTAGACAATTTTATAAATTCAAATTTGGTCTTCAAGACTGGTTACCACCCACAGCTAAGAGAGTGTGTCGAGCTATTTAATTCCTAGATATATTTTCTTTAACTCATTTCACCCTAAGAAAGGCAATAAAGCCACTAAGACGCAAAGGAGGGGTATGCTGAGTATGAGATAATATGAAAAAAAAATTAAAAAAAGAGAGAACAATTAAAAAAAAAGAAATGAAGAAAAAAGTAGATAACGTTTAACATTACATTTTTGAAGATCTAAGTTTAACATTACATTTTTGAAGATCTAAGTTTAATCTACATTTTTGAAGATCTAAGTTTAATCTACATTTTTGAAGATCTAAGTTTAATCTACATTTTTGAAGATCTAAGTTGACTGAAAAGTAAGAAGCTAGAAGTGAGTTCCATAAAAGAGAAGTTAGCAGAGAAATTACGATTACATCCAGACATTTTAAAGCCTAAAATGGTGAGACATTGTCGCCCACCTAATACAGAGTTTAATTTCATAAAGACTATGTACCATAGAGGAACATTCATCAGAAAAATTACTATGAAAATATTTATACAAAAGGCACAGGAAAGCAGAAACATTACTAAGGAGCGAGAACAATAGAACAGTAATCAGGAAGATAGTAGATAGCGACTGACATTGCATTTAAATTTTTGTTGATTAATGCTGATTGGAAAGTATGGATCCGGACGTGAGTTCCACAAGCGTGAAGTGTGAGAAAAGAGGCTGTTAGCATAGAACTTACGGTTACATCTAGCCAGCTCAACTATAAATTGATGAGACCTAGTCCACGATCTAGTACTGCGCTTAAATTTATAAAGTTTAGATATCATAGCGAAGAGCTCATCCGAGCAATTACCATGAAAGTATTTATAGAAAAGGTACAGGGAGGCAACCTTACGGCCGGGGGGGGGGGAATGCATAGCAGAATCTCCAAACCAGATGTGGCAGCAATATTAAATGCATGGACGGAATGGTAGATTTATAAATGCGTAAGATAGATTCTGGAGAGAAAAATAGTCTAGCCTGACACAGTGAACCAACTTTCCTAGCAGTAGAACTAACAATTGATTCAATATAATCTTCCCACTTCATGTCAGTAGAAAACGTTAGACCGAGAAGGCACAATGAGTCACTCTGATGGAAGACAAAAGTGTTCTCTCTGGCGACTAAAAGAGAGCAGTTTCGTTTTGGAGGCGCTAAAATTAACAAATCATTCCTTGCTTCAGTCAGAAACAGACTATAGGTCATTTTTGAGATCAAATGCCAATTTGAGTTCAGGGAAACGATCAGTTGTTTTTTTGTTTTTTTTCTTAATTGATTTCATGCCATGCAATGCAGAAAAACCGCTAAAACACAAGGGATAATTGAAGAAATTACTGTGGAAGAATTAGGAACGAAAACATTAACGATGAGCAGAAAGGCAGAAAGGCATAAAGAAGGACAGATGTCACGTAACAGCTCAGTATTCTTTTCCTTGTTACCAAAGAAATCCTCCCCCCCCCCGTCTCACAATATTCCGCTCAGGTTTTTCAAAGCAAAAATTTGCGCACACTTAATAACAAATGACATCATAAATGAATTTAACAACCCCCACGGAAAAAAAAAAACAAAAAAAAAAAACCCAAAACGGGTCATATGTTTAATTTGTCTTGTGCACCAAATATTTATAAATAGGATCTATGAAAAAAAGTGTACAACATAATAATAGAACAATGCTTGCTTATAGACTCAGATCTTAACACTAAAGGCATATGTGACATCAGGAATTAGTAACACAAGCAGTTTCCTGTATATATGTTCTTTGGCAATTCAGTACAGAAAAATACATTAGGAATTCTTTCATCTTATTTTTATTCGTTTCTACGATTACATGTACTTGCTTTCAAATTTCTTAGATGAAGTCTCGTTAATTTTTATTAATTATGGATTAGGATTGCTTTCATATTATTTCCATTCCTTTCTACGATAACATGTACTAGCTTTCAAATTTTTTTGATGAGGTTTCGTCAAATCTTATTAATTATGGATGAAGAGTTCTTTCATCTTATTTCTATTCCATTCTAAGATTACATATACTAGCTTACAAATTAATTTGATGAGTCCTCGTGAATTCGTATTAATTATGGATTAGAATTTCTTTCAGTTTATTTCTATACCTTAGAATTACATGTTCTTGCTTTAAAATTTCTTTGAAGACTCGCGAATTCGTTAATTCAGGAAGCTTTGTCAATTCGTATTAATTATGGATGAGGATTTCTTTTATCTTATTTCTATTCCTTTCTACGATTACTTGTACTAGCTTTCAAATACTTTTGATCAATCCTCGTCTTTTCTTATTAAGGTGCCGCCACTAGTTCGCGTAAATGATGAAAAATGGCCCCAAACTCAATAAAAACAAAGGCTTGTCATCAAAATGTTTGTTATTATTTAGAAGAAGACTAAAAGTTTTTTTTTTATTATTATATCTTTGAAATTTTTTCCTCCTTTCTAGCACGTTCGAAATTTCAGGTTAAATATTTTGTTTTTTACGACAGCGACGAACTTGAGAAAAAGTTTGTTTTACGTGGAGCTTTTTCCGAGGAAAACACACATTGATCTGGAAATTCTTGCAAAATTCAAATAAATGTTAGATTTTAATGAAACTTTCAGAACATATACAGAAATGAATGAAATTAATTTTGAAATTGCTTTTTAAAAAAATTTTGGTAAAAATTTTTTTGCATATTTTACCACCCACTTACATAATTTCCTGAAATTTCGAGAAATTAGATTTTTTAAGGGGGAGGGATTTTGTTTATTAGTTAAAAACAGGACACTTTGGAGAAAGTAAATCATCAATTTTTTGTGAAACAGTTACCCGTTTCATCGAAAATCTGCTCTGAATTGCAAAATAAAAAAAATGAAATAAAACTGACATTATTTAATGAGAAAAGTTTTAATTGATTTTGTAAATAAGTTATATTAAGGACACTATTGTCTGAAGAAATAATGAATAACGAATTTTTACAAGAATTTTTTCTTTTTTTTTTTAAAATTTTAATTATAATAATATAATAGTTCAAAAATCGTTTAAGATTCTTAATTGCTTTCATTAATGCAATTTGGTGATATCGTTAAGTGAAAAGTAAATTTACGAATCAGAATTTGAAAAGTTCATAACAGTCGTTTGTATCCGAATATTTTAAAAATAATTTGAAATGTAATTTTTAGTGAAAAAACGTTCCTAATTTCTACCTATGGGAATCTGTACATGACATAATCCTTAAAAAGTTCACGTGATTTAAGTGTCGTCTGACGCACGGCAATT